TTTTTAGGGGAAGAAGCCTATTGCTGGCTTTCAGTGTCTTTTCCTTGATTTATTCACCAAAGAGCAACATTCTTGGAGTCATTGTTCAGTAACATGTAATTATCCTCCACCCCCATCCTCCTAAATTTTTTAAAGTGGCATTATAGCCCTCAAGCTCCATGAAAGATTATAGTCATATCTGGAGAAAAAGTGAGGTTGGCAGAGTTCATGGTGAATATATTAAACCATTACTCAGGAATGTGGAAATTGCTGACCTGCAACTGTACTCTTCATCTGTTCACAACTGCTCCTTCTGTAGCTTCAGTGACCTGAGCAACTTCTTGGGAGTTACCAGCACCCTCTGTACATCCATCACAGGCTATTGCAAGAAGGACTGGTAGAGATCACCATTGCTGCTGGTACTACTCTCACTGCTTATGAATTCCTATTGATAATAATCATCACCATCATCAACAATAATAATAAGTAGCAATTTATATTTTAAAATTTATTTTTTAAAAGTTTTAATATTTTAAAAATGTTATACATGTTAATCATCACAACAACCCCTTTAGGTAAGTAACTACTATTATCCCTGTTTTACAGATGAGGAAACTGAGGTTGAGTGAATTGACTTGCTTCTGGTCAAATATCTAGTAAACATCTGAGACTGGATTTGAACTCGGGTGTCCCTGATTCCAATTTCTGTGCTCTTACCAGTGCTTCACCTAGCTGCCATTTGATCTAGCTTTGCCATTTGCAGTGTGCTTCTTTGCAACTGCCTGTGAGGCAAATGGTATTGCAAATAGTACAAACTACATTTCACAGATGAAAAAGGCCCCTGACTCCCAGGCCAGTGATCTTCCCAGTCTTGAGCTGGACTGGAAAAGCTAGAGAAATTCTACCCAGCATGTGGTTTCTGGAGAAGATAGCCTCAGGGTGAAGGTGTTCAATAACAAGTCAACAGGCATTCCTTAACTATGAACCAGGAACTGCACTAAGCTATGAGGATACAAGGACAAAAGTCATCCTGCCCTCTAGGAGCTCAGAGAGACCACGTACTCCAACGGATAACTCAAAGAGATAACAAGAAGAATAAACTGGAGACAGACTCGTTCAGTTGCTATTGAAACCAGTCTGTAATATCAATTAGCTCTGATTGAGAAGCATCTCCTTTTTAGCCTGTAAACCCCAATGAGGGCAAGCCTACTACCTCCAGCAGCAGCCTATTCCGCTTTTGGATGGGTCTAATTGTTAGGAAGTTTTCCTGGACATCCAGACTACCTTTTCCTCTTTGGAACTTCTACTCATTTTTCCTAGTTCTGCTTTCTGGAGCCAAGTAGAACAAATGGAATCCATCTTCATTGGGAGAGCCCTCCAAGTACTCAAAGATCGTTTTTATCCTCACCAAGTCTTCTGTTCTTAGGACAAGAATCTCTAGTTCCTTTAATGCTATTGCTCTCCTCTGAATACTGTTCAGCTTATTGGCTTCCTTCCTAAAAATCGATTGTTTTCCTTCTGGTTTCTGATCATAGTAATTGAAGCTACTGTAAAAATTGTGTACTTTGTGTAATTATACAAAATGGAAAATAAAAGTTGCTGTTAAATGGATGCAAGGCTTTAGGGCTTGCATAATTTTTTACAATTGGCATTTAGATGCAATAGGCTGTCTGGAGTTGAAGTTATTTGGACAAAAACAAAGCAAGGATGTTAACAGAGGAAATTAATTTACTGGTAGTGATTCATTATCATGACCATCACTAATTTTCCAAGTAATTAGGTGTATCTGCTTGTATGAGCTTGTTTTCAGTTTGATTAGAATAGGGAGACTAGAATATTCTACGTGAAGGAAATAACATAAGTAAAGACATAGAGCATAATCCACTGGAGAACAATAGTTTGGGTCAAGGTTGAATAGTAATCATCACTGTTAGGGGGAAAAAAGAAAGCTCTTTTGATACAATTAATTCCTTTGGGAAAGAGAGTGGCTATATTGATGTCCTGCTGTGATATCCCATGGAGAAATCCCATGGACATGAATCTCGGTATCAGAGGAGATGCTTATGGAGTCCAAAATCTGGCAGCTCTGAGCAAGCAATAAAGGCTTTTAGAGTCAGCTTGGGAAGGAATTTCATGTATGCCTTCTGAGGTCTACCCAAAATAAGTTGGAACAAGTTCATGCTGAAATTAATTGTAGGGTGATAATTATTTTGGTTCTAACACTTCTGAGATACCAACTCCTGTTTTTGTTAGTTTGTTTTTTTATTTTCCACCAGCTCTACTGCTTTTAGACTTGTCTTTGGACTTTCCCATTATGCCTTCCTTCTCCAGGAAGCTCATCATTGGGCAATCTCATTATCATGCTAGATTTGTTACTCACATCTCATCAGTATCTTCTGCCCCTCTGATTAGACTTTTTTTTCTTTGGACTCATTGCATTTCTAGTGAATAATTTAGAGTTTAGCCTTCAGTTAATTTTTCATCATTTCATTCATCTTTGGCTCTTAGCTAAATTGTACATAGGGCAGACCATGTCTTAACTTTGTTTTATAGCTCCCCTAAGGGCAGCTAGGTGGTGTAGTAGATAAAGCACTAGCCTTGAAATCAGGAAGACATCTTTATGAGTTCAAATCCAGCCTCAGACACTTACTAGCTGTGTGACCCTAGGCAAGTCACTTAGCCCTGTTTGTCTCAGTTCTCTTATCTGTAAAATGATCTGGAAAAGTAAACCATTCCAGTATCTTTGCCAAGAAAATCTCAAAATGGGGTCACAAAGAGTTTAGACATGACTGAAACAACAAAAATAACTCCCTCAGACACCTTGCATAATGAAAATTGCTCAGTAAATACTTAATGTTTCACTGATCTTAGAGAATTTAATATCTGACTTTAGTTTTTAAAGGTTAGAGTGATAGCTATTAAACATAAAACAAAAGTCCTACAATTAGGCTAAGAAACATCAACTCTACAGGTATATGAGGGAGAAGTTGCTAGATCACCACTTGTGGAAAAAATCCTAGAAGTCTGAATGATTCTCTGAGTTTCTATCTCAATGTAAATCCGTATGGGGCAGTCAAAATTCTAATGGGATGTTAGGCTGCATTAATGGAAGCAGTTTTCCAAATTGAGAAGTAGTGGGCCCTTTATATTCAGCTTTGGTCAGATCACATCAGGACAGATTTCACCGCTGGAGGTTTTCTAGCCATAGCTGAATGCCTGCTTGTCAGTTGAGCTGCAGTAGGGATTCCTATTCAGGAAAGTATTGGACTAGCTGGTCTCTGAGTGCCCTTTTAACTTTGAAATTCTTTTTTTTTAAAGTATATGTTAATTAAGCATATTACTTTCAAAGCTGTCCAGCTTTTTTGTTGATCCTTTTGGCCTTTCTCTGTCCTCTTCTATGCATTTCTTTTCTTTCTTTCTTTCTTTCTTTCTTTCTTTCTTTCTTTCTTTCTTTCTTTCTTTCTTTCTTTCTTTCTTTCTTTCTTTCTTTCTTTCTTTCTTTCTTTCTTTCAGGCAGTTGGGATTAAGTGACTTGCCCAGAGTCACACAGCTAGTGAGTATTATGTGTCTGAGACCAGATTGAACTCAGGTCCTCCTGACTCCAGGGCTGGTGCTCTATCCACTGCACCACATAGCTGCCCCTTAACTTTGAAATTCTGTGAATATTTAGGCTACTGTTGGGCACCACATTTATAAGCTGGACCATGCTCAGAGGAAATTGAACAGAACCATATAATGACTAGAAGCTATGTCATAGAAAAAATGGCTGAAAAAACTGAGAATGTTAGTTTGAGAAAGAGAAGACTTGGTGGAGATGTGGTTGCTAGGTTCAAATATTGGAAGGATTGTCATTAGAAAGAGAGATTGTACATGGCTCTGGATGGGCAGAATGATGCTTAGTGAGCCTTTTTTTTGGCAATCAGAACTTCTCCAAAATGGAATGGGTTGATTCTGGTATTAATGAGGCCCTGGAGGTTGAATGCCTATTTGTCAAGTTGTGGTAGAGGGGATTCATACATCAGCAGTACATCGGACTAAATTAAGACCTCTTCAGTTTTAGGATTCCATTTTTTTCATGAACATTCATTTCACTTCAACATGTATTTATAAAGTGCCTACTGTGTGCAAAGCACTGTGCTAGTTGCTAGGGATATAAAAATAGAAAAGAAATAGCTCCTTTCCTAAGCAAGCTTTCATATGGTGGAGGAGGGTGGGGAACGTCCTTTGTTGGGGAAAGTAGGAAGTGAAAAAGTTTCATGACTTTCTTTGATCATTGAAGAATAATTTTCACAACAGGTTAATATACATAAGTATGTCCTTGGGTGTTAGAATCAGTAAAACTATCAGTTATTTTTAATGTCCTTTAGACATTTTTGATTTCTAGTATACTTCACATTAGTTTTAATTAAGTTAAGAATGGTAACTGGTTTTAAAGAATTTAAAGACAAAGAGATTTCATTACAGAGTATGATTTGTGTTTGGTATTAAGCAAGTGGTTCTATTGATAGGAATTTGTCTTTGTGCTGGCCAGATTAGTCATTTTGATTGATATGCAATCCCATCTAAAGTGGAGTACCAACTTTAAGGCAGATTAAAAATAAAACTGAGTTGTGGAAATGCTTTATTTTGTGGTGAATTTATCATCTTTTTTTTTAAGTGAGCAAGATCATATTTTGACTTTTCCAAATTTCCAAAATAAGCAATTTATGGTAAGCTAATTAGATTAACATTTCCCCTATTGAAATACTTGAAATACTGAAATGTTTGTTTGATAACAATAGGGGGAAATAATTTCGTCTCAGAAAGACTCAGTGAAATAATAAGATTGAAATGGGTTAATATGTCATTGAATTCCCAGATGGCATTTATGATACCTGAGTGATCTGGCAACCTCACGAGGTGGTCCTATTCTTATGATTTGTTGAAGAACAATAGATTGTAATAATAATCCAACTATTGCCTTTTAGAATTAAAATTTTCTCAATGTTTTCTTTCATTTTTATTTTTTCCTCATCCCCTAGTTTAACAGATGGCGGCACAATGTGTAACGAAGGTGGAGCTGAGTGTCTCCTGTGACAATCTTTTGGATAAAGATATAGGCTCAAAGTCAGACCCTCTATGTGTATTGTTACTGAATACCAGTGGACAGCAGTGGTATGAGGTAAAACATTAAAAAATTCTTTTGGAGGGAAGGGTGGTCTGATCATACTTTTGATAATGGAAAGAGGTTTTTAATAGTAAAGACCCACCAATCTAAAATGAATCCCCCCCTTTTTTTTATTAAAGCAAACACATTTAGTCTGTCCTTTAAGTCATTCACTAAGTAAATTTTCTAGATGCAGAAATTCCCGTTAGCCATTAGGAATATTAATCAAGTTTGTTCAATAAAAATGAAAATTGAAACTTTTGAGCTCCAAAATACATGTCTGTGATCCAGTAACTCTTCCAATGAATTATTCTCTCCACAGGTTGAACGTACAGAAAGGATTAAAAATTGTTTGAATCCCTCATTTACCAAAAAATTTTTAATTGATTACTATTTTGAAGTGGTTCAAAAGCTAAAGTTTGGGATTTATGACATTGATAACAAAACCATCGATTTGAATGATGATGATTTCTTGGGAGAATTTGAAGTTACTTTGGGACAAGTAAGTATGACTTACTGTGCTCTTTAACAGTCTCATTGCTTTTATGGCAACTCTCATATGCACTTAAAAATTCACAAAGAAATTAATTAATTTTTTTTTTTACTTTTAGTATTATTGTTTAGTCCTTTTTCAGTCATGTCTGACTCTTCATGACCCCTTTTGGGGTTTTCTTAGCAAACAAATGGAGTGGTTTGCCATTTCCTTCTCCAGCTCATTTTATAGAAGAGGAAACTGAGGCAAACAAGTTTAAGTGACTTGCCCAGGGTCACAGAGCTAGTAAGTGTTTGAGGCCTGATTTGAACTCAGGTCTTCCTTACTCCAGGCCTGGCACCTTATCCATTGCACCACATCGCTGCCTCACTTTTAGTATTACTCTGTTCTTTTATCACCTTCATTTCCAACTATGTCCCACTCTTCAGGAAGCCATTCGCTATAATAAAGATTAAAACATGAAGAGGCGAAAAGAGCAGTTTAACAAAACCAACCTAATTAGAACATTAGCCTGTTCTAATCTGTACGTATAATATTGCACATCCACAGTCTTCTACCTCTGTAAAGAAAAAGAGGTACAATTTTTCAGCTCTTCTCCAGGTTTAGTGTTGGTCATTACAATTAATTAGCACTAAGGGTTAATTTTGCTCTTTCCATTTAAAATTTTGTTGTAGATGTGTATACACACACATATACATACAAAATAAATACATATATATATATATATATATATATACGTACACATACACACACACACACACACACACACACACACAAATATAGTTTTCCTGGTTTTATTTGCTTCAATCTGCCTTTGTTCCTCTAAATCTTCCCATGCTTCTCTGAATTCTTTGTATTTGTTAGATAGTGTATTCACTATATGAATAGTGCAATAATATCCAATTTCATTTATGTACCATATTTTTTTTAGCCATTCCACAATTGATGGGAATCTATTTTGCTTTCAATTCTTGACTACCATAAAAGAGCTGCTATGAATGTTCTGGCTTTGTTTTTGACCTCCAAGACAATTAGATGGCATAGTGAATAGAGCTCTGGATGTGGAGTCATGAAGACCTGAATGTGAATCCTCCCTCAGTTGCTTACTAGCTATATCACCCGTAGTAAATCACTAAATTGGGATGGAGAACTATGGCCTCAGTTCCCTCATCTGTAAAATGGATATAATACCACGTACAGAAGTGTTGTGAGGATCAAAAGAGAAAACATATGTAAAGTAACTTGCAAACCTTAAATTGTTATATAAATGCTAGCTATTGTTGTATGTATAATCTAATGTATGCTTCTAAGAAAGACTTTATTAGTATAAGAATTAGGTTTAAAACATTAAATCTGCAAAACCCTAAGTTTTTCTTCATAGCTAAGTCCTTAGCATGATGAAATTTTTCTCATTTAGACTCTAAGTTTTATGAAGTCTGGAATCATATAAAGTGTGCCCAACTTTAACTGAGGAATATTAAAAAAAATCCAATTCTGAAATTTCCAAGTCTGATCTTTTCTGTTTGATCCTGTAATGATACAGTTACACGATTCTCACACAGTTCTTAAGGTTGGAAGGGATGTAACATGTTCATGAAGTCCAACTCACCCTTGAATAGGTTAGGTCTTTATTCCTCCTGATAGTATCTTAGACAACTGGTTATCTGGTCTCTACTTGAAGCCCTCTAGTGATAGGAAACTCGGGAACTGTCCTGAAATGCATTCTGCTTCTGTGGAATTCTAATTGTTAGGACATTTTTCTTAATATTGAACTCCAATCTGCTGATTCTGCTTGCCTAGGAATAGAAGATCCAAGCTCTATTTTGACCTTGACTGAGGTGCCACATGGAGGGAAATGCATTTGTGGTAACAGCTGATGTTTTATATAGCTCAAATGTCACATTACTGTTCTCACAGCAGCTGCAGAAGGGAGATAGGTAAAGTTGTATTATACCCCTTTTTTGTAACTGAGGAAATGAAGTTCAAGAGGGTAACTTATCCAAAATCACAGAGCTAGTTTGTGGCAGATTTGGAATCCAGTTGTGTAAAGGGGATTTCTGTTCAGTTATAGGTTGGAATAGATGACCTATAAGGTCCCTTTTCACTCTTTTATAATTTAATTCTGAATCTTTAAGTCTACAGAAATTTGTCAGAATGTTCTCCTATGAAGTCTTTGTACACTTCATTATGACTCATGTTCCTTGAAGGTTATGCACAAGCTCAGGCAGAGGCTACCAAGCTGGAAAGGCCTGGTAGACAACTATATATGTTGTCCAAGGGAGCCTAGTTAATTTTAGCAAGGCCAAAAGGCCTTGCTGTATCACCAAATACCACCAAATGATAGTTTTTAAAGTTAATTTTTCTATGAGCAAAAATTTATTTTCTTTTTGTCCCATCCTCCCAACTGAAAGAGTGAATAGACAATAAAACCCTCATGACAAATATCTATAGACAAGCAAAGCAAATCACTACATTGTTCAAAAATATATGTCTTGTTCTGTACCATGAATCCATTTCTTCTCTGTCAGGATGTGGGTAGCAGGGATGATAGTTTATTGTTGCATTGATCAGCCTTCTCAGGCCTTTAAAAGTTGTTTTTCTTTATGATGTTATGTTTGTATAAGTTGTTCTAATTCTGCTCACTTTATTCTTTACTCTGTTTGTACACATCTTCCCAGTTTTCTTTGAAGCCATCCATTTTGTCATTTATGATGACATAGTAATATTCAATTTGCATTCATATGCCATAATTTATGTAGCTGTTCTTCAACAGATAGGAACTCCCAGGTGACAGAATTTTCAAGCTATAATTCAGGAATTACTACTCTAGGTGAGGAAGAGTTACAATCTGCGCCATTGGAGGGAGTATCTACATGAGGAAATCACTGATCATGCCATCATAGATTTAGAACAGACAGGGACCTTTGAGGTCACCAATTCCAACCTACTCATTCTACAGAGAAGGAAACTAAGGCCCCTGGGAATTTAAGTGACCTGCACAAGTTCACACAGATATTAAGTGGCAGAGTCAGGCTTTGTACTCAAGTCCCCAACCCTCAAATCCAGTGTTCTTTCCACTTTTATCAAGTGGCCTTCTTTGATTTTTTTTTTTAAGGACTTAAATGGACCTATAATCTCATTGATTTGGTAGTTCTGTACTGTGATGTAGATCTCAACCCATGCGTGCCTGTCCATCTATAGGGTGACTCGTATGCTTGTCTTCTCTTAAGTTTGACATAGAGTCCACCCAATGTATTGGAGGCCTTCCTCATTTTCTCTTGCAGAGCACAGATTGTCTACTTGGCCTTCCTCATTCATGTGTCATAAAAAAAAGCCCATCCTCTTTTCCTATTATACAATTCCTTGATGACATCTTTTACTCCTGTTCTTTCTCAAAGTTCCTCAATGATTATGCATTTCAGCCAGCTCACACCCACTATGTACCTCTTCATCTCCCTCCATGTGATACTCATTTTCAGTTCATTGGAGGCAGTTGTTTTCTGTGCTTTGCTACCATATAGTAACACTGGTAAGAATGTTAATATTGAAAAGATCTTTTGTAGATGGTGCAGTGAAATAGAAAACCAGGCCTGGAGTCAGGAGGACCTGAATTGAAGTCCGGCCTCAGACACTTCACACCTACTAGCTGTGTGACCTTGGGCAAGTCACTTAACCCCAATTGCCTTGCCAAAAGAAAAGATCTTTTGAAATATTAATTCCTTAACTGCACTTAGAGCATCATTCTTGAACTGAGTTTTGAAAAGTAGTTTAATCATCAATAATGTGTTAATATTAGTCTGAAAGTTTATTATGAGTCAAAATTAATAAGTAATAATTATCCTGCTAGGATACAAGCAAGACACATAGTCATTAACTTATTCAGACCAAGAATGAGTTTCATTATATTGATGTTTAATGAATGACTTTCTATACTAGGTGCCTTGGTGAATCTTAGACTTGGAGTATGTGGCCTGTGTACCCAATGATAAAAGAATAATAATAATAATTAATTATAGATTTGCTTGGCATTCCTGTTCTCTACTTGCTAAAATGAATTGAGCAGGTATCCTAACTGGTTGAGCAGTAGTCTATATTCAGAGCAATTATAGATGATTTTGAATCACCAAAATAAACCTTAGTGAAGGCGCCCTTTTAAAAAACTTATTTTGAGCATTTCTATATTAATTGATGTCATAGGACTTATAATTCACTGCCTCACTTTGCTGACGTAGACATGGCATTAGATTACTTTTGCTGCAGTTCATTCACATAAATTTTATTTAAAATCATACTCATTTACTTGTATATTTAATCCTGTTAGAATCCTTTCCATATAGTAAGATAAGATATTTTGTAGAATGATATTTTATAAAAGATAGAGATTATTTTACATAATACTTAATTTTAGTTGGCAAAAAGTGCGTTTCCCCTCTAATTTGCCCTCATGAATCTTTTACTACTCTGGAGTGGATTATTTTTGGAACGCATTTGTCAGTATTAGTGTCTTATACCATGGGGGGAATATGCTGTTTGATTCCTATAGCTTTATAGTATACATCTTTTTTGAACTCTGATAGTATCACAACTTATAGTTACCCTGAGCCTTAGCTTTTTGAGAATAATATATTTCTGTGCATCTTAGAAACATAATTCTTCTAAGGATTAAAATTGTGGGTATAGATCTAGCCCACATGATAAGCCAAAGAAATATGCTGTATATTATTTTGTCAAATAAGTGTTTTCTGGGGGATTAAATGTTGAAGTTGTTTGAAAGTTGCCTTAGATGCCATTATCTAATCTTTTGACCTGGAGGAGACTTGAGTGTGATTTGAATCTGAGATGAGAATCTTTCCCTCTTTTTCCATTAAAAGTCAGAAGTTGTAAAATCTTGGTCTGTAAGAATATGAGTTGGTGTGGGTTAGGAGATGGTATCTATTTGGATAACCACTTTGAAAATTTCTAACAGCTGTATGAATAGCTATATTTTAAGTGTTTTTTTTATAATCTCTAAATCTACAAGGAAAGCATTTAATGTTTCCATTATCTCATGACTGTAAAAATTTCCATTTCAAAGCTTCTTTAATGAAGTGAAATAAATTTTCATTTTGTTTTTGGGTTCTAACAGATTGTCTCTAGTAAGAAGTTAACTCGACCATTGGTCCTCAAAAATGGAAAACCTGCAGGAAAAGGCAGCATCACGGTAAGACAAGGTTTTTGCTTTTGTTAAATTATTTAGAAGAAATAGGTGACATTATGGCAAGATCTATGAGAGGCAGCATGGTGAAGTGACTAGAGAGTTGGTCTCAGCATCACGAAGATTCTGCCCCTGACACATACTTGCTGAGTGACCTTGGGTGAATCCCTTAATCTCTCAGGGCTTTCGACAGCTGTGAAACTCTTAATTTGCAGAGAAGGTGTCAATCTGTATTTATAAGAGGGAGTTTCTCTCTAGGAGGTGCTTAGATCAATGAAATCACAAGTCTTTAGAAAAAAACAACAGCCAACCAAACAAACCATGAGACAGCTGTTTTTCAGTAATGTTTTATTATTTTCTCCTAAGCAAAAGGAAAAAAAAATTTTTTTTGGCTGAGTAGTAAGGTAGAGTTGAGCTCCAAATATTTGGAAAAAGAAAAAAAAAGAAATGGCTGTCCTTGTAGGGATTCCTTGATCTCTTAGAACTCTGCTCTGGAAATCTCTTCTTTTAGTCATTGGATGTTCAAGAAACAGGAGCTCAGCTGCACTGGAAATTTGTGTGTTTGCCATGTGAGACCTGTGCCAGCTATTTCCACATGTTCTTTCTTTCCTACTTTTCCGGTGCCAGTGGAAATAGCATTTCCTACGTAGCCGTAGTCCTGTAACATGACAAGCTAAGTGGAACAGTTTTGGCTCTTTAATTTGAGCATACTTTCTTAAAACCAACAGACGGACTATATAAGTATTTGAAAAGAACATCTCTGTGAAATATTTTGGGTGGTATCTTGAGATGTAGCCATTCTATACCCTCTCCCCTCCTCTTCCTAACTACGCATTGTGCAGAGACATATGGCATATGGTCATACCCATTCCCACGCTATCCATCTTTTACTACTATATTTAGATATTAAAACATACTCTTTTCAGCTTTGTCTGTCACTTGCTTTCTTTTGTTACCATACATCTTATCTAAAAATGGAGATTCTATACAATGTAGCAGCCATTAAACATCTTCCATATTAAAGGGACAATGCTCTGCACTAGGAATACAAAGAAAAAAACTCCATAGTTCTTGCCCCCTGGGAGTGTACATTATAGCAAACAGATTTCTAATTTTGCATATTTTTTTTCAAATACCAGAATAGATCTTTCTTGTTCAAATTATTGGATTATTGGATCTTATGCAGCTTTTGGCAGTCTCCTCGTAATTCCCACAGACCTATCTATTAAGAACATTGTAAATCCCTCTGGGGAAAACCATGTTACCGTTAGTTTTATTGTTCTCAGACCTTGACCCACTGGAATTCCAAGCTAATGTTAGGATTAGTATTTTCAAGTTCATGAAGTAAAAATATACCATAACTCTATTTTTAAGAAGAACTTTTCTGAGAACTATCCTTGTTAGTTAATGTAGATAATCCTTGTAGATAATGATATAATTTCTACTGCTTGCTTCTCTTCTTCTGGCCACTAGTACCTAGATAGCTATGTTTGGGGGGTATCATTATTTTTGATAGATGTCTTTTGTTTTTACGTCATATTGATTTCCTCTATCTATTTATCAAGTATCTTGTAACAAAGATTAAAAAATAAATAAGAGTCACATATGTAACTTTATTACCAACCTAACTGAAGTAGAAATAGTTCTAGTTTAGAAAAATTCATGCCATCTTCAGCAGAAATTTTTCCAATTGAGATTCAACCCAGCTACTCTGTGTTATTTTTAAACTTACCTTATTCTTTCAGTGTTTGTCTTTTTCAATGAAGAGAGATCCATTGAAGATTTAAAAAAAATTCTTCTTATATCTATAGAGCTTTGGCATTTTATGTTCTGTTTTATACACAGGTATTTCCTAATAAAACCTGGTCTTTAGGCCAGAGCCTTTTTTTTTTACCTGTTTAGTTCTTATAAGAACAAACTGTCCAAGCTAAGTTTCTCATAAGATTAAACTTTTCTTAAAATTCTCTTGTAATGATGTAATAAGTCACCAAATAATCTGAGATTATTTTATAATGTTGTGTTCATATTCTCATGTTTTATAATAAAAATTTATATTATGTGTGTGGGTTTTTTTTGACTTATGTAAAGTGGATATTTCTGTAATTTTACATGGTTTCTTACTGAGATTTTATATATATATATATATATATATATATATATATATATATGTATGTTATAAAATGTTTCCCAAATAAATAATTAAGGGGGGAAAGTAGTTTAGTAAAGCCAACAAATACTTATTAATTTATTTCTTTTTAGTTTTCAACATTCACTTCCACAAGATTTTGAGTTCCAAATTTTCTCTCCATCTTGTCCCTCCCCCCCCACCCCAAGATGGCATGCATTCTGAGTACTCCTTCCCCTAATCTACCCTCCCTTCTATCTCCCCACTTCTCTTATCCCTTTCCCCTTCAATTTTCCTGTAGGGCAGGATAGATTTCTATACCCCATTTCCTGTATATCTTATTTTCCAGTTGCATGTGAAAATAATTTTTTTTAACATTTCCAACAAATACTTATTAATGGTTTCTGATAGTGTGTTCCTCAACTTCAGAAAAAAAGAGAGGAAAGTGTATTTTCTCAACTCTTCTCCAAGGCAAAACTTTATCATTTTAATTTTACAAATTAAGTTTTATTTTAATTGTTCTTTTTGTTTATATTATTGTAGTTATGGTGTATATCACATTCCTAATTTGTCTCACTTCACTCCACATCAGCTTTGAATTCTTCATAGTTGTCATTTCTTACATACATGGTTGTATTCTATTGCATATATACCACAATTTATTTAACCATTCGTTAATTGATGGGGACAACCAGATTAGAAAAAGAATATTGTATGTATTTCCTTTTATAGTTCATTTAAATAGAGTAGGATTGGCACATTAAGAGAATTCTTTGATATTTCAGACTTTTTTTTTTCCTTTACCATGGCACACCTTTCCTAAACATCTCTGTGTATTCAACACTAGTATAATTATTAAATGTTCTAAAATCCATCTGAAAGTAGTACAGAATAATATACTATTATACAACAAAATATATCAATACTAGAAAATAGGTGAGGGTCCTACATGGATTCTATTTTTTTCTTATTTAACTTGTCTATTATTAGATTTCAGCTGAAGAAGTAAAGGATAACAGAGTGGTCTTATTTGAAATTGAAGCAAGAAAACTGGATAACAAGGTTGGTAGAATGTAAAGGTTTAAATAATGTAATGAAACTCAACTAAATCATGTTAGTTCCCTTTTGGAGGGAGATTTGGTTTCAAACAAAGCCTAGTAATGTGCCTCTTGCTAAAAGAACAGTAGGGGAAAGGGTTCTGGAATATCATGATATGTATAAATTGAGTAGTTAATTACACTCATTACATCTGACACTAACTCCACATTTATTATCTGAACCCATCATCTCTGAGACTTTATCTGCTTCATTTTTACAACTTAGCATATTCACTTTTCTTTCTCAAAAAAAAATTGTGTGAAAGTATTAGTGTTTGTTTAAAAATCTTTAATGGTAATTCAGTTCTTAACATTTGTTTAAATAGCTTAATTTTTTTTTTGTTTGCTTTATGTCTGAAGATGACCACCATCTAGTTTGGGCAGATGTCCTTGGTTTGGAATTAGGAAATCCTGGTTCTAGTTTTGGTTCACGTATTATCAGGAAATATGACATTTGACAATCAACTGTACCTCAGTATTTCCCCCCAAAAAAGAAAATTTATAATGCTTTCCCTATCTCACAAACTTGTTTTCAATCAATCATCATGAATATTTTTAGCACTTACTATGTGCCAGGCACTGTGCTAAATGCTATGGGTACAAAAAAAAAAAAGGAAAGAGTAATACTTGCCCTCAAGGGACTTACATTATAATAGAGGACATAACAGGTATACAAATAGGCATATCAAAGTATATGCAGAGTAGATAAAATAAAATGTATAAAATATATTAAAGGAGAAGGAATTAGCAGTTGGTGGTGGTGGTGGTAGTAGTGAAGATAAAATGAAATAACACCTCTCAAAGGCTTGGGAAAATCAAACTACCACCACCACCACCACCACCTGAAACCCAGAAACATTTTTGTATCATGAAGCCTCTGTGTTAATGGGTAGGAGATGAGATTTTGGGGATGCAACAGTAAATGGGGTTAACTGAGGGAGGAAAAGCATCCAGAAAAGAAAAGTTAGGTGCCAGTACTTAAGTATTAAATATAATTTTCAAGTAAAACATAAATGTAGAGTTTGTTTCTATTTTAGCTGATCAGTTAAGTCACTTCAGAACTCCTGAATTTTTTATGTCACTTGTTGACTTATTTGTTTAAAATAAATAGCCAACTATTAGACTACTCTGTTATATTCTTTATTATCAAGGTGGCTTTATTCTCATTGTCCATAGACTGAACCCCTGTCCATGTCAGCCAAATAGCTATCATATGCATCAGTCATAAGGCAGAGTAGGTGATCAATGCAAATCTACCCCCTCTGCTAGAAAAATAGTTCAAAATTTATGCTTATTCATCAGTGGGTCAAAGTTACCATCTTTGTATCAAAACGACAGCACTTTTTTTTTAAAGTTTAAGGGCAGATTCTTAATGCCATCTGTTCTCTAAGACAACTTTGCACATAGGGAACATATATTACTGCAAAGAGATTTCTCAGTTTAGGTATTTTCTAGCACATTAACTCTCAGTTCTGAGTGATTGGGGAGGTAGATAGTTGGTTGTTTTTTTCTTTTTCTAATTTAATTAGCACCAATGTATATTTGGGCTGATACTAACTTCATGTAGCTCAACACTACACTATAGTTGCAGATGGTTTTGCTGTTTTGTTTTTAGGATTTATTTGGAAAATCTGATCCCTACCTGGAATTTCACAAGCAGACATCAGATGGACAGTGGCTAATGGTACACAGAACAGAGGTAACTTAGTGGAGTGTAAGGATGAAAAGTATGTTTTAGAAGGAAGTTTCTTTCAATTGAATATCAGTATTTTGGCTATTTTCTTTCTTTTTCTTTCAATTGATAAATTTTGTCTGGACACAGCTGAGACTTTGCAAACAAATAAACCTTCCACCAGTTACATTCCTTGAAATCAGTTTAGCAAAATCACCTCAACAGGGACTGTACCTGATTAGGACCTGCCACTTTTTACTGTTGTAGCTTAACCTATTGTTACCCAAAAGAAAGGTTTAACTTTAATATTTGATACCAAAATTGTCCTTTTTGACTTGGGTTTTGTTGCTAGTTGGAATTGTCTTTATATTTATATGGTTATCCTATATATAAATATATTTATACATACATGCTTACATATATATTTATATTGTTGCCATCATCAACTATGTTGTTCTTCTGCCATTTCACTCCCAAGTGTTTTCTTTGATTCAGTGCCCATCTTAGAAAAATCACCATGAAAGTCCAGACTTGCAAAGGCTGAACTGCACAAATTATTCATTATACATCCTCCTCAAAATGTATATATGTTAGAGGATATTGCAAGATTGAGTACATCCTCCTATGAGTTTTTAGAAGAATACTAGGGTATATTACAGTCATCTCACAACAATGCCAACCTGTTATTTGATTGGTTCAGATACATGTAGGCTACTGTTAAATACAGACCATCTCCTTAAAGTGAGAGTTGTAACAAATTAAAGTCAAGTACATGCTTATATGTTGGAAAAAATAACATAGATCATAGCCTGAGCTTAGATTTTATGCAAGTCAGATTTAGACAAAAAAAGTGTTGCCTATATTTGGATCAATATGGTACTAGGCTTCTTTCTTGTTTTAGCAAACAAGGAACCACAATGCAGGTATAATTTAGTTGTGACTAGATGAAGGGATGTCTAGTGTTGTAAGTTTACATTTCTTTTTTAACTCAGTTTTTTTTTCTACATGTAAGTGGTAACATATATCTGCTGACTGCCATTTTTGTTACCCTTAAAAGTTTTGTAATGGGTGAACTTGTTGGCCCCAATAACTACTTTTTTCTTCATTCCACTACCAGATGGTGTCTTTTATGTATGATTTTCATTAGGGTTGAAAAATAGGTCCTACTTTGGATTTTCTTTAAGAAAAGCATGAAAAAATTCAGCAAGTAAAGAAAGGAAGACTGATAGTTGCATGAAAATCAGTAGTCAGTCAATCAACAACCATTTATGAAATGTTTACTATGTATTAGGCACTGTACTAATTGCTGGAGATACAAAGAAAAGCAAGGAGCAATCTCGTTTCTTCCCTTACTTCTCTCCACTACCATGGAACTCAAAGTCTAATGGAAGAGACAACATAGAAATAACTAGATACATTCAAGAAACAGAGAGAGTAAATGGTAGACAATCTAAGAGGGGAAAGCAGTAGGAAAGCCAATTTGATTAAGTTAGGTTTTGTTTCTAGTCAATCTTTTTACATTCCTTTGCGTTCCTTTTCCTAGGTCATTAAAAACAACTTGAATCCTGTTTGGAAACCTTTTAAAATTTCTCTTAACTCTCTGTGCTATGGAGATATGGACAAAACCATTAAGGTAACATGAATATTGTCTATATGTATTTTTTTGAAATGTGAAGCAATATATGAAAAAGCAGAACATATGGTAAAACATATCTGTGGAGCTGGTTTCATATTCATATCTAGAGAATTCCAGAAGAGGAAGCCTGTCTCCAGGGAAGTAAATCAGAGAGTCTGTAATAATGTAATATAGACTTTTATCCTCATCTCTACCAATTCAGTGTCATAAACACTGTTTTCAATTTCACTCCATATTTCTGATGAAAAAAATCCAATCATTTGGTTAGTCTTTGAATTTAATTAGAATTCTCTTGCTTTGAGTCTAGGAATCTTTTAAGCATGTACTCTGTTTTAACCAAGGTGAAACACACAGCCCAGTACTCAAGAAATGAGGGAGGTTTTGATATTTCCTTTCATCATTTTCAGCAGAAAGTAGGATTATCTCATATATTTAGGATTTTAGAACAGTAGGATGAGAGTACAGAATAATCCAAAAGGAAGTGATTGACTGATGTCTGTCATCCTGGGATCAATACCGCATAAACTCTTATTAAAATTGAATGACACAAAAAAAAGTAAATTTAATTTAGAGTTCTCTTTATGTGTTTCCAAGGATAGTTTTTCCCCTCACTCAAAAAGAACTACAAAGTAATTCCATTGCAATTAATTTGGGTAAAGCAGGAATATATAGATTTGGAAACTACTATGTAAAAACTGCTCTATCTTGGATTCATAAAATTTAGTCATACTGAGAATATATTTGATTTCTGAAGTATTTTAGCCACCACTAGGAGTAATAACCTAGAAATAAAAGAAAAATCCATAAAAGCAGCTTAAAAATGTCTCTATGCAGCATTATATCTATTGAATTTTTATTTTTTTCTCACATAAAAATAACTTGGGGCTCCATCCATAGGACCAGAGTAGACAGAGAATGTTGGAGCTGCCGAAATTATGACTCTTCTTTTTCATTTCTAATGGTGTGTTAAAGATTAAATAATGCTTTTAAACTTTTCTGCTCACAGTGGCATGCTTAATGGGCTATTTTATTATAGTAAGTAAACTGGTTTTCTGAGCTTTCTCTAGCGAATGCCTCTCTTCATTTCAAAATCCCTCAGTTTGTGCATTCATAAAAAATACGCAAACTGACTACCTACATTGTCAGTTACATTTCTTCTAAATTGTATGCATATGTGTGTGTGTTTGCAGTGAGTCTCAGAAAGTTTTGAGGACTAACAGAAGTGAGCAGTTGAAGGGCGGGGGAGGAGAGGCTGCTGTGAAAATCAGCAGTGATTTCTATACTCTGTGAACTGCTTTTAGCATGTACCATTTCCATAACATCAAGCAGACAAGAAGACAAATAATCATGCATGCTTGCCACCTTGCCAAGAATGTGAATGCATCAGTATAATGTTGTGGAGCTGTGTGGTGGGGGGCTTTTTGATATATTTCTATATGTATGTCTTTGTGTATGTGTATGTGTATGCTGTGCATGTGTTTAAATGTTAAACTTTGAATTTTACAAGTACTACTTCTGGCTTGTTGGCTGGTGGTCCATTCTCAAAGAGGACCAAAATGACATCACTCTGTTGGAGTTAAGTTATGGTGTGTCCTTCTGTGGCTGATCAGACCAATATGAGCTCAGAATGCTCCACCACAGGTTGGGCGCTAGTAGTCCATGTGAACATTTACAGTGGATTCTCTAAATTTGTGCACTTCGAATTTGTTTTGAGCTACTGTAATTCTGCTTTGCTTATAGAGCACAGCACCTTTTTTGAAGTGGGCACGCCATGCTGAGCAGTCCTCTGCCAGTGTCTCCCATGTCACACAATCAATTCCAAAGGTCTTAAGAGAGACCTTGAGAGTGTCTTTGTATCACTTCTTCTTAACTCCTTATTGATAGACACTGACTAATGATATGATCCATGTATTTTTGAGGAGAAAAATGGGCAGAAATCCTATGGTGTTATTTTCACTGTATCTGGCCACATGCCAGTTAGTGTTGCAGAGTCATGTCCCCACAGCCTCTCTTTTTAAAAAATAAATATGCAATACATAGAAAGCCTCTCAGCTTTACCAGTAATTATCTGGGTGATTTTGGACAATTCACTTAATTTCTTTAAATCTCAGTTCCCCTAGGCAAAAAATGGAGACTGTTTGTCTCATCTACCTTACAGGTAGGATGAAGAAATGAGATAATGTGTATAAAAGTGCTTTGAAATTATAAAGTGCTAGACAAACATAAAGCATTAATTGGGGAGAGAAATCAGAATGTACTACATGCACTGACTGTAGCAAATAATCACAAACTTAAAATTTTTTTGGAGAAAAGTTAAGCTCCAGGGGAAACTAAACATATGAGCAGTTACTAAACTTTATAACATTTTTTTTTCTGTACGTTCTTTTCTTTCCCAAAGCTTGTGTGTGAAATAGCATTTGTATGCACATGTACAAATGTGAAATTTTGTTCTCTGCAGTTCTGAAAGTTCTCACTATTGGAAAACAGCTGAAAACTTAATAAGTTTTTAAAATTAGGATTATGTTGTATTTTGTATTTTTATTTTTAGAAGCAGGAAAGTTGAATTAAAGTCATTTTCCTTCCACTCTAGGCTTTTAAGAAAAAAGTGAAAATTTGAGGCTTGGAAATAGAGTAAGTGGGGCAGAACAGGCAAAATGTTGGAAATATTGTTGGTTCTAAGTGTTAGAAGCATCTTTCTGACTTTAAATAGCACTGTGTGAAATCATCAGTTGTTGCATATTACACATTCAGAGATTTAGAGCTATAAGGCACCATCAAAGTCATGTAGTCCAGCCCCTTCCTTTTACAAATGAGAAACTGAGGTCCTGAGAAGTTAAGGGACTTGTCCAAAGTAACACAAGTTATTCAGTGGCAAAGCCAGAATTTGAACATAGGTCCTCCAACTCCAAATCCAGTGTGCTTTCCATGGTAATGTGTTGACTGCCTTTATATTTTATGTGTTTTCTTAGTCTCTTAGAAGGAGGTTAAATTTAGGAACAAAAGACCTCCTGGTAAGGGAGATGGCCATCCTTATCAGAAATGATGGGGTAAAACCAAATTGCTTTTTAACTAAAGGATTTTCATGAGGACTACATATCCTAAGTGAATTCAGAGGTTTTCAAGGGGGTATTTCTTTTTTTTTTCTTTTTTCTTTTTGGAGGCAATCAGGGTTAAATGACTTGCCCAGGGTCACATAGCTGGATTTGAGCTTGAATCCTCCTGACTGCAGGGCCAGTACTTTATCCACTATGCCACCTTGCTGCCCTTTCTAGGCAGTATTTCATAGATTACAGGTCGTACAATATAGAACCACTATAGGAGAGACCTTAGTGATCATCTAGGTCAGACTTCTCATCCTTGTGTTTATTAATGCACAGGGTTGAAGACTGTTGCATCTCTGTTGTGTTCTAAAGCTGGGCAGGTGGGAGACCTCTGCTCTTATTTATTTATTTTTTGGACGCAATTATGGGTAAGTGACTTGCCCAGGGTCATACAGCAAGTAAGTGTCTGAGATTGGATTTGAACTCAGGTCCTCCTGACTCCAAAGCTGGTGATCTAACCACCTAGCTGCCCGTGCCTCTGCTTTTATAGAACAGTTCTTTCTGTTGCCAGGATAGGCTCTGTCATCATTTCCTCCTATTCTGAATTTAGCAAGGCTAAGAAAGAAGAACTGTGAGTAAATCTATAAACTTGGAGTTATATTTAATGCAAAGTAGGCATTATATTATATATTCAGAAATATATTTATTATGTTACTTATATTCAGTATTACTTATGTGTGGGAAAAGTGGAAAATGGAGACTCTTGCAAATATTGGAGACCAGCAGATAATGAAAGCCAAAGCTAAGACACCTAGCATCTTCCCTATCAAAAGTTTTACTAGCATGAGCTGCACAGATGAAGAAAAAAAGAGAACCAACTGAGATTCCCCCTTCAGTGATTTCAGTATTGATTCTCTGGCTTTCTTTTTCCTCTTGACAGTTTGGATTCTCAGTGTGACACTGATCAGGCCTTGTGCAGTCTTAGTGATATCAGACAGGTCTCACTAGGGGAAAGCCAGTGAAACTGAATGGTTCATTGCTCAAGGTCTGATAGTATAATAGTCTGTGTAAATACCCCAGCACTCTGGCTTTGCCCCCACCTTCCTTGGAAGTAATGACTTTTTGGTTGCTGCCACAAGAGGATGTAGGAAAGGATGGAAAAGAAGATAAAAACCCGCTCATTTTGCTACTTGTTAAAACATCTTTGGAAAGATTTTTGGTGGTATTATGTTTAAAAAAATGATCCCAGTATTTTACTGATCTTTGCTGTCTTTGTCCTCATACCATGAATGATTGAGATAGGTGAGTATTTAGATGCTTTTTTCATGGAAGCTGTATCCCACTAGTTCAAGCTGTGTGGGTCAATAATTTGGCAGGGAGTCCATTTTAAACCTCTTGATTTTGTAAGTCTAATGACTAAATGCAAGGTTTTTGGCATCCTAAGAGATAAAAGGTAGGTGTTATCAGATCACATTTATTCCCATATGCCCTTGTTAATCAGAGAGATGTTGATTTTTGTTTATTTTTAATTATGCTTAATTTCAGGTAGAGTGTTATGATTATGATAGTGATGGGTCACATGATCTCATTGGAACTTTTCAAACCACTATGACAAAACTAAAAGAAGCCTCCCGAAACTCTCCCGTGAGTAACTTTTTAAATTTGTATATACCTTTTTTATTTTGGTCTTGCATTTGTAGTTGGGGTTTTCTGTCAGTGTGACTAACAGCCCAGCATGTACCTTCCTTGTAATTACATGGAATACTTTAAATCTTTATAAGTCTAGTAAAAGGATATGAGGGTGAGTTGGCATTCTTGCTTTATATTTAATTTTAGAGGTTCAGTCTCAGTTGGCTACTAATACTAATGTATGGCCTAGCAGAAATTTCGTCATCTTGCCATTTTTTAAAATAATGCATTAGAATCTGATTTTTGAGTTGGATTTTATATCTTCTGCTTGGCTCTTCTCTCCATCTTTTCCCTTCTCACCCAGGAGAATGATAGAATCAATGCTCATCATGGGTTCTAATATGAAGCATTTGCTTAGGGAAAGGTCTTGTTAGGAGATACATCTAGTTCAACTAATTCCATTCAAAGGGTACCCATTTGGATACCTTTATTCCAGTCTGATTATTTCCATTGAGGTCATTTCACTCTGTGGTAATCCAGCATAATTTTCTACAAAGCAGTTCCTGAAACAAATGTGTATTTGGTCCACCACAGCTCATAACACTTTCTAAATAAAGCAAGTTAGTGCTTCCTTGGTAGCACACAATGCAGCACTGGTTCTCGCCCTAATCTGTTGCTTACTTTTCTGATTTGAATGGTATAAGTGTGAAGCGTAGATTGCTTTTCTAGTCTCCTGATCTATTCTGTGAATATTTGTATTAAATGCCTACTAGGTATGGTAACTATGCCAGGCACTAAGGATCCAGAGACAAAAAAGAGAATAATGCTTGCTTTTGAGGACTTTACATTCTACTGAGGAAAACAGCAGGTCCATAGAAAAGGCAATGCAAAATAATTTCAAGATAATTTCAAGGAGGCACTAGTAATTAATTAATTTGCGGGGAAGAGGGAATAAGAAAAGGCCTTGTATAGGAAGTAATACCTGAAATGAGCTTTGAAGGAAGCTAGAAATTCTAAAAGTGAGAAGCGATGAATAGTATTCTGCTTAGGAATCTGTGGACGATAGGATAGGTAGATGAGTGGTCATATTTTCAGTAAGAGTGTATAATTTTTATATTTAAGGTAGGCTCCTGAAACAATGAATATGATAATATAGAAGTTCCATTATTTTGAACTGTCTGTGTAACTGGGGGAAAATGAATTTTATAACATAGCTGGGCTAGATTTTTCCCAATATGCATTCTTTTCTGGCAGAGCTCTGAATGAGAGAATGAGTGTTTTTGGTTGTAAATGGCAAATTCTGGTGTTAATTTGTTCTCTTTGATCCTGAGTCATTTCATCTTAGGCTCAGTCACCAGTAACCAAGGCAAAAGTGCTTTGAAAAGAGGAAAAATTCATTTGGAACCGGTCAGGCTTTGTGTGATGCCATTGACTTGGTGACCAGTGATGGGGAGTGTTGGTTCTGTGCTAGTCCAGTGTTTGTGATGATTTGCAAGTGATCCTGTAGAACGCATTAGACTGAAAGGCATAAGGTCTTTTTGTCACATCACCATATGCTTTTAATTAGTTGTTACATATTTGTGAACTCAAGCTTTCCAAATAGCTTCTTTCATGCTTCCAGCAATACCACAGAAATCTTTCGAGAATTTTTATCATCAGTGAGAAATCATCAGATCTGAGGTAATGTTGTATCTCCATAAATAAGTGGTTGTTTGATATTACAACAATTAGCAGTCATATTTCCTGCTGAATATCCAAGGCCAACATTTTGCTGTTTCAGTTATTTTTGGATTTTGTTTTAACTAGGACCAAAAAGTAAAAAAGACTTAAAAGAGAAACATGTTCAGATCTATATTCACTGCCCCTCCACCCCTGAACATGAATTTCAAGAACCTACCTTAGTAGGTAGAAGAATTCTCAAGACAAAGATAGTTTTAATTTAATGAGACTTCATTAATACTGAAAACTTGCTTATTACTAAAAATATAAAGCACTGATATTGAAAAATTAACAAGTTGCAGAAAGTAGTGGTGGGTTTGAAAACAAATGAGAATGTCAGAATTTAACCTGGAAATCCAAGGAAGATCTTGCCAAACAAAGGAGTTAAATTCATATATATTACCAAGAGCTTGGTCATTCTCTCTGGCTTATCATGTATATCTTGGAGAATTAGGAGATGACCTGGTTTTGGGAAGCAGGTCTTGTCTGTGGCCAAATGTTTCTATTTGTTTCATCCAGCTTTAGCGGCTTATGTTTTCTAACATAGTAAAATTCCAGTTTACCCAGCATTTTATTGTGACCAAAACTCTATTAGGGACTCTTCTGGAATTTACCCTATAATGGTAATTCCTTTTTATAATGATGGTCCCGAGTGATAATCAAGATGCTGAAGTGTCTTTTGGACCATGAAGGCAAGATTAAATTTCATTTACCATCACCTGAATGTTTGGCATATTGTATTATATTCTGAAAGTCTGAAAAATGGTAATTATGTATGTGTATACATATATATATATATATATATATATATATGTATGTATGTATGTATGTGTATATATCTATATGTATATATGTATGTGTGTTATGTATGTGTATATATGTGTGTGTGTGTGTATATATCTATGTATATATAACTCTCAATTAGCCAAAGTCAGCTTTCTGACCAGACTAATGGTACCACCATTCTTTCAGTCTCCCAGGTTTGAAATTTTAGTGCCATCTTTTATATCTTCTTTATTATCAGCCATATTCAGTTGCAGAATCTTTAAGACTTTACCTTTAAACTGTCATGTGAGTTTTTCTTCTCTCCATTTCCTCTGTCACTGCCCTAGTTTACATCTTTATTACCTCACCAGTACCTGCCTTAGGGCAGCTAGGTAGTGCAGTGGATAAAATGCTGGGCCAGGGGGAAGCTAGGTGGTGCAGTGGATAGAGCACCGGCCCTGAAGTCAGGAGGGCCTGAATTCAAATCCGGCCTCAGACCAAACACTTGACACTTACTAGCTGTGTGACCCTGGGCAAGTCACTTAATCCCAACTGCCTTAAAAAAAAATGCTGGGCCAGAAGTCAGGAAGATTCATCTTCCTGAGTTCGAATATGGTCTCAGGCACTTACTAGCTGTGTGACCCTGGGCAAGTCACTTAACCTTGTTTGTCTTAGTTTCCTCATCTATAAAATGAGCTGGAGAAGGAAAAGGCACACCATTCTATTATCTTTGCCAAGAAAACACCAAACGGGTTCATGAAGAGTTGGTCAAGACTGAACAACAAAAACTTTTTAGACACTTATATTTTCAGTCATCTTTCTTCCTCCACACTGCCACCTCTTTAGTTCATTCTACATGTGTCTAAACCTGGTTTTAACTATCATCTCTATGCAGATAACTTAAAAAATATGAGCTCATTGTGAGAAGGGGTTGTTTCATTTTTTTGTTCTTGTGTCCAGCTCTTTGCCTGGCATACAGTAAGTGCTTAGCAATGTTTGTGGACTGATTATTATTAGTTCCATTAGTTCAATCCTACACTATAACTCTAGTCCTTCCACTTCCCTGCTTAGAACCTTTACCTGCTCCCCATTGCTTATTTAATAAAATCTAAGCTCTTCCTCCTGGGGAGGCTTAATTTATATTCAAGATCCTTGATAACCTAGTCTTTTTCCACTGGTTTTTGTTTGTTTTAACGAGGAATTCAGTTTTATTCCCTTGGTATATCTGAGGAGTAAGTGAGGTCCCACATAGGAAAAAAAAAACAACTAGGGAGATTAAAAGAAAAATCATACTGGAAAAAGAGAGTTGAAGGTGAGGAAGTGGAACAGGGTTTCTGTGATCTAAAAGTTGGGGAGATTCTTAGAAGAATACAGGTTGGAGAGAAGTAGGAATCTATTGAGGAAGAGGATCCTAAAGCAGACCATGATGGAGATAAGGGAGGGAATACTTTGAGGGAGTGGAGTCTTTTATGGTAGTCATAGAGCAACCACCTTTTCCAGCTTCATTTCCTGTTACTGTTTTTCACATAGACTATTTTTATCCTTGTCCCCAGAGGGCAGCTAGGTGATACTGTGATTAGGGTGCTGGGCCTAAAGTCAGGAAGACTCATCTTCCCGAGTTCAAATCCAGCCTCAGACACTTAGCTGTGTGACCCAGGGCAAGTGACTTGTCCTTCTTTGTCTCAACTTCCTCATCTATAAAATGAATTGGAGAAGGAAATAGCAGAGCACTCCAGTATCTTTGCCAAGAAAACCCCAAATAAGGTCATAGAGAGATGAACGTAACTGAACATCATTTTAAAAAGATTATTTTTATTTCATTAAATATTTCCCAGTTACATGTCAAACATTTTTTAGCAATTTGGAATGCCAAATCCTCTCTCTCCCTCCTGCCCCCCCCTTCCCTTGAGAAGTCAAACTATTTGATTTCAATTTTACATATGAGGTCATACAAAACATTTCCATATTAGCCATGTTGCAAAAGGAAATAAGGTAAGATAAAGAATTTTTTTTTTGTGAGACAATTGGGGTGAAGTGACTTGCCTAGGGTCACACAGCTAGTGTCAAGTATCTAAGGTCGAATTTGAACTCAGGTCCTCCTGACTCCAGGACAGGTGCTCTATCCATTGTGCCACTTAGCTGCCCTGAGATAAAGAATTTTTGAAAAGCATCCTTCAATTTGTACTCAGAGTTCATCAGTTTTCTCTCTGAAGGTGGATAGTGTTTTTTACCTATAGATCCTTTGGAATTGTCTTGGATCATTATCTTGATCAGAGTAGCTAAGTCTTTCACAGCTGATCATCCTACAATATTGCTGTTACTGTGTAAAATTGTCTTTATAAGTAATTGGAAAAATAAAATACTATTTAAAAAATAAAATAAAAAATAACAAAAACAAAACAAAAACTGTTCATATCTTTTGACCATTACATAGACTATTTATCTTTTTTTTTTTTTAAGTCTACTGGGGTTAAGTGACTTGCCCAGGGTCACACAGCTAGTTAAGTGTCAAGTGTTTGGTCTGAGGCCAGATTTGAACTCAGGTCCTCCTGACTTCAGGGCTGGTGCTGTCTCCATTGTGCCACCTAACTGCCCCTATAGACTGTTTATCAACCAAAGTGCACTATTCCCTGAACTTGACATGCACGTCCTGTTTCTGTACCTTTGTTTATGCTATTCTCGGCTTGGTACTTCTTATTCACAATCTCTAACTGTCAACATCTTATCCATTCCAAATGCAATTCCCTTTAAGAAGTCTTTCCTGATTATCCAAAGGGTGGGATATTTCCTGTCTCTTATCTACCTTACCGCTATAATTGAAGTTCTTTTATGGCACTTACCATCATAAACTTTCATTATTTTTGTTCTTTTCTTAGCCTGATTATAGCTAGATCTTGATTAGAGTGGAGAAGAAATCTCCTGAAGGGGTCGCATTATTCAAATTTGCACTGCATATTTCCACTGGGCTATAGCCAGTTAGCTCATTTTATATAAAACTCCTAATGGAAAGAGACTATTTTACTGATTTTCTTTGGCTAGAATAATGCTTTGAATTGATTTGTGCTCACAATGGGAACAGGGAACAGAAGCAAAAGACTTAATCTCTGACCTTCAGGAATTTACAATTTAGTTGGAGAGATAAGATTAATCCATGTTCAAATATTTCATTCATTCATACCTTTCTTCAAAAAGTATTTATTAGCACCAACTATGTCAGAGGCACTATTCCAGGTGCCAAGTGCACAGAAACAAAAATGAAATTTCCTGCTCTCGAGGAATTTATGTTTTACTAACGGGAGTGTGAGATGGGGATGAGATAAGGATCATTCAACATTACATATAATTAAGCACTAAATTGTATGATATAGACGTCTGAAGGCGAAATCCAGCCAGCTTCTTGCTTTCATAAGGCCTTTGAGAATAGTTTTTACATTTTTGAATGTATTTTTTAAAATGTATGTTTTAAAAGTCTTGTTGTATTTTAAAATATAAAAACCATTCTTGGCTTGGGCAGTACAGAAAGCCAGGCTGAGGCTGGATTTGGTCCTCTGGCAATAGTTTGTTGATCCTTGATATAGACTCTAAATGCAATGGGATTTCAGAAGGTTCTATCACACAGGAAAGCCTTTATGGATGAGTAAGTCTTGAGGGGATAGAAAGGACTTTTGACACATGGACAGAGGATATCTATTTGAAGAGAAGGAATCAAGTGAATAGAGGACAAAAGGTACAATGGAGGATAACAGAATTATCAGGTTACAGATCGCATGTAAAATGCCCTTATGTGATAGAATGGTTTGCTCTACTCTTAATGAATGTATCTGATAATTTAAGAAAACTCCCGAAGGCACTTGTGCTGTGTGGTAGAGATATCTTCAGTGTTCTTTGGTTCTCTAATAGTCACATATTTCTTTTTCTAAGCAACTCATTTTGCTCTTTCTGGAAGAGCAAAAATTATCCTAAGGCAAATCCAATGTTAGTCCTGTGCCAATTCCAGGAAAATTAGCTATTAGTGATATTTTGCATATTTGATGAATAAATAAAGCTATTTAGGGCTCAGGAGATTTTTGGCATAGGAATGACAGGTATGATGTAGAGAGAGGGAAAAATCATTCCTTAAATCCTTACCAAGACTTCTGGTGGGGTAATGGAATTTTTTTGTAGTTTACATTTGTCTTCCAATTCCTGTAGGTTGAATTTGAATGCATAAATGAAAAGAAGAGGCTGAAGAAGAAAAGCTACAAAAATTCTGGTATTGTCAGTGTGAAACACTGTGAGGTCAGTACTAGTTGAGCCAATTGCTTTAATTTGAGGTCAGTTTGAAGAGTTGTCCCCATTCCCTGAGCTAACATGCTATGTGTCTGGGCACCTGAATCTTTGACTTCTGGAAATTCCAGAAATTAAACATTATGTTTTGAGATCTTCAGGGAGCAGAGGGGAATAGGGATAGTGAGTTACAACAAAATATTTTAAATAGCATGTTTACTTCAAGGGTCAAAACATCTCAGAAAGTATGGGGGCATTTGCCTCGAGGCCTGTGGGGCACTCTACGTATTTGGTACTTTTCCAGCAGAAGGCAGACACAAACTATGGCCTATCATCCCTGCACACAGTGCCTGATGACCTGGCATTTTTCAAGCTTGTTGGAGTGTGAGTAGCCTGAACCAGTATTGTCCATCCTGTTAATCTTTTCAAGATGAGAAGGCTTAATAATGATATGATTATAATGTGAGGAGAAAAAATCTTTTATTTTTCCTCAGGCTATTTGTTTCTGAGACTTCTTATTATGTAAGAGAGTTGTTTCCTGATTAATTTTGATGTGAAAACTACAAAGCCCTTGTTACTTTACTAGCTGTTAAGTTCCTAAAACCAGTCACTGTTTTTTTTCCATTTTTGGTTGAGGTTACATTCCTATCCTGACGGTGGTGATGCCCTTTTGTTTTGGAAGTAAGATCATTCCATTAAAAGTAAAATGTAATCCTGACATGTAATCCCAACTAGAACATCCCTGGGATGTTGAGCCAAGGTGCCACCATTAATGTTAGAAGGTCTTTTAGTGGAATAAGAAATGCTGAAGGACTGATAAGTAGAGGACTGGCTTTGTGTGCTAAAATCCAACCAGAATGGAGTGAGTTGGCATAGCATTAAATTTTGTGTTTTACTAGGGAGTTGGCAAAGAAAGTAAGGTGAAATGGATTAGCTTTGCAAATACTGTAACATGAGTCTTTATTCTCATGTATTTGGAAGGAGGTATAAATTCAGGGATAGAGGAACTAGTGAAGCAGAGACATCTTAGACTAGAATTTAGCACTAATTTGCATGTATTTACAATTTACCTTTATTCAGTTTGGTTCAGCAAGATTAATTTATGTCCTCTTCAAAACCTAAGTGAATAGAACTCCTTGTTCTGTATTTTACAAAGGGAGGATTTTAACTTTAACTCTCTGTGTTTAGATTACAGTGGAATGCACATTCCTTGACTACATCATGGGAGGATGTCAGCTGAATTTTACCGTACGTGAAATAAATTTCAATGTATATTGACCTGGGTTTTATAGGGTGGGATGTGATACGAAGGCTTTACTGCCTATCGTACAACTGTTTTTGTTTGTTAGTAACTGAATGTGTGTAAATGTCTGTAAATTCATTAAATGTGTTCTGCCCAGACCCAATTTCTGAGCTTGTCACAAGCTTTCTGTTTTTTGAACAAGAAAATCTGTCATTCCTGAGAGCAAGCAGACATGTATAGAATCTGTACTCATTCAGTAATAAACAGAATAATTCAGAGGACTGTTAACTGAAAACAGCAACAGTTGCAGCAAATCCACAAAGTTAAGGGCTGAGTGCAATAGAAATTCACAATTTAAGGCTTCTGGAATAATAGGAACAGCAGGTATGTATTTTACGCAAACAGTTTGAGAGAGAGTTTCACGATGAGGCCAAGAATTGCTCTCTTCAAACACTCTGATTTAATTGTCTACAGAAATGCCAAGGCACACGCTTGCTCTTAGGGCGTGGAGAACAATGGGTTTAGTGCAGGAAATTTCTCCTGAGGTCAAGCACTGGCTCCTGTACCTTGGAGCCTTGGTAGGTGTTAACACTCTTGTTTATTGCAGGTGGGAGTAGACTTCACTGGCTCCAATGGTGATCCTAGGTCTCCTGACTCTCTTCATTATATCAGCCCCAATGGAGTTAATGAATATTTGACTGCTATCTGGTCTGTTGGGATGGTCATTCAGGATTATGATGCGTAAGTCTCCACTAAAATCCCATATTTGGCAGGAAACCTTTCCCAACCCCTCTTACTTCTGGTGCCATTTCTCCGTTATTTCCCATTTGTCCCGTACATAGCTTTTTGGTATGTATTTAGTTGCATGTTGTCTTCCTGTTAAATAGTGAATTCCTTGAGGGCAGGGACTGTCTTGCATCTCTCGTATCTTTAGTGCTTGAGTACAGTGCCTGGTACATAGGAGGCAGTTAATAAATGTTTATGGAGTGATTTTAGAAAAATCCTGGCACATAGCATGTGCTTCATAAATGTGTGTTGATTGATTGATTTTAGAATAATGATGACACTGATTGTTATAGCTGCCCAGAAAAAATCACCTGCTTTTGTTTGGTTCATTCACTTAAAAGGTATATGCAGTGCCTGCTATGTGCCAGGCGCTGTGCTAGGCGTTAGAAATGAAAAATGAAGGATTGGAAGAAATGGGGTAGAGTGGATAGAGCTCTGGGCTTGGAATCAGGAAGATCTCAATTTTTTTCTTAAAAAATAATTAATTTATTTATTTTTAGTTTTCAACATTCACTCCCATAAGATTTTGAGTTTTAAATTTTCTCCCTCTCCTGCTCCTCTCCCCCCTTCCTCCTCAAGAGGGTGTGCAATCTGATATAGGCTCTACTTATACTGAATTCAGATTCTTTAACTGTTTACTTGTTGTGTGACCCTGGACAATCCATTTAAATCTGTCTGGACATCGGTTTCCTCATTTGCAAAGTGAGAGTGTTGGATTCGTTCCCTCTAAGGTCCCTTTCGACTCTAAATATGGTGCTATAAAGTAGTTTCTGCTCTCATAGGATTTGCATTTCAGGGCAGAGACTATTTAATTTTTGTTTTTGTGCCTATAGGACCTAGCAGGGTATCTGATGGCTTATAGTATACCACGCAATAATTATTTTTTAAAAATATTCTTTTTATACATAGGTGAGCCTTAGAAAGAGTTCTGTGTTGTAAATTTCTTTCTAGGTCTGTTAGTTCTAGAGTGAATGTGCTTTTGATTTTTTCTATTGGCTCTTTTTATATGTTCAAAGCTGATTAATTTGCCTGATATTTAAAGAGAGTGAAACATTTTATATTGTCAAACCTTATTTTTAGTGATAAGATGTTTCCAGCCTTTGGATTTGGGGCCCAGATACCTCCCCAGTGGCAGGTAAGAAGTCCTTTTACTTCTAGAGTACCCCACTCACTGAAATATGCAGAAAACCTTATTCTTTCATTTGTGTGTTGACAGGTATCACATGAATTTCCCCTAAACTTTAACTCAGCAAATCCCTTCTGTAGTGGTAAGTTTTCACAATTAACATGAAGATCTTAAGCTAAAAGTCTCAGCAGCACTGATTTTTTTCATTGCTTGAACAACCTTTTCTTTTTCTTTGAAAATTTTACATTTGGTTGTAGAGAAAAAAAAGCAGATTAGCAATAATTTCTGTGAAATTTTTAACACTAAATTATGTAAGCTGAATTAGAAAAATTGCATTATCATTCTTCTTATGATTTTAGGTCAAATAATGAAAATATTTATGATGTTGAAAACTATCCAAATCCTGGCAGGAAATATTATTATGGGTCATATTGTTGTTGGTATCATTTTATGTTTATATTGAATTTTCTTTTTTGGGAGTGTGACGCAATCGGGGTTAAATACTTGCCCAGGGTCACACAGGTAGTAAGTATCATGTGTCTGATGCCAGATTTGAACTCAGGTCCTCCTGACTCCAGGGCCAGTGTTTTATCCACTGAACCACCAGCTGCCCCTGCATGTTTAACTTTTTAAAGCTCTTGAATATACATGTTATTTTGACTAGGTATAACAAAAACTGTGGTGAATAGAAGGACTAGTCCTGTGATTTTGCTGGTTTAGGGAACTCCAGGATGAGAAAACTCCCTCTACCAATGTAAGTTGTCACCTTCTCTCAATTATAGTCTTAGGGAGTTGCCTAGAGCTCTTAAGAAGTTGAATTCCTTACCCAGGTTCATATAGCCGGTGTGTGTCAGAGGTAGATCTGGAACCTAGGCCTTTGTACTATCAAAACAACTCATCAGTCAGTATACCATGGTGCCTCTCAGTTATAAGTGGTCCAGTGCAATGAATGTTTTCCAAAATGTGTTTCAACATAATGCGTTCTCTATAAAGAAAAAAAGTCTGTGTGTTGTACATCTTTACTCCTGAGCAATACTTTGGGATTCTAAAAGTAAAGAGTTTCCCATACTCTTGGTTGTAGATAAGGAAATGTCTTTCCTTATTTTAATTTGACACTGAATCTATGTTTCATATAATCCTGTTTCTTTGGCTAGTTCATCCCCAAAAGGAAGGTTGTGATTTGATGAAATGGTAAGCTGACAAATTAAAGGCAGTTACTGCTTTCTTTCAAAAGAGTAGTATTCTTTTCATTACTCTCATTAACAGGCATTTACAGGGTCTGGATTGAAATGCTAGCTGAGCAAGAGAATCTTGTAGATCACTGACGTACTTGATGACAATCAACCCTGCTTTTGTTCTCTAGGAATACAAGGCATCATAGAGGCGTATCGGACCTGCCTTCCTCAGATAAGACTTTATGGGCCAACTAACTTTTCTCCAATAATAAATCACGTGGCCAGGTTTGCTGCTGCAGCCACACAGCAACAGACAGCATCGGTAAGTGGGATGTTGTGGGTCAGAGGGGCATAGTTCCGCCTTGGTCATGGCTTTTATGATGTGGAAACAGTGGAAAGAATGCTGGATTTGGGGTCAGAACACCTGAGCTTGAACCCTAGCTCTGCTATGTACTACCCAGGGGACTTGGGCCACGTCATTTAATTTTTTCTGGGCCTCAGTTTCTTCAACTTTAAAAAAAGGAGTTGAACTAGATGACTTCTAAGATTTTGTCTCGTTCTAAAGTTATGATGATAGAATTTGTTAACTATGAATGTTTGGTTCAAAGGCTTTGTTTTTCTTTTTTTTTCCCAATGGGGGGAAATGGGGAAGAAGAGGGGAGCTGGGGATAGAGTTGTCAAAAAAAAAAAGAAGGAAGGAAGGAAGGGAGGAAGGAAAGAATCCTGAATTTTAGCAAGCTGCACAATAGGATGAAGGTCTGTCTCAGTGAGGACAATCTCTGGCCCGTGACTGTTTTGATGTAACATCTCTTTATGAAGGAAGGAGGGAACTCACCCATGGGAGAAGGGGAGAGCCTAGTGGAGGTATATTCCAATGTTAGAAGGCCACAGGGATGGTTGGATGTTCTGGGGTGAGGAGGCCCCAGACATTGTGGGAAGTTCCAGGATGAGATTGCAACAGAAGCAGGATTTTGAAGCCCCAGAAAGGGCGTCAAGAGGGAAATGCATGACTATCCCTGGCCCATGGCAATTTTGGTGAAATTCTTCTATTTTTAAAAAAATTAAATTTATTTTGTAAGCATTTCCATAACATAATATAATAAACTGCTGACCTGTTATATACAACTTGCTATTCTTTTAAGTATGTAATAAAATTATCATGTAAATTTTTTTTCTCTCTCTCCCTACCCAGATAGCTACCATTAGATACAAATATGTGTATATGTTAAATCACTCTATATGTACTTCTATTTATCAGTTCTTTCTCTGGATGCAGATAGTGTCTCCCTTCATATGTCCTTTGTAGTTAATTTGGGTGTTTATGATAGTCAAAATGACTTAGTTGCTCAAAGTTGTTCTTAACACAGTATTGTTGTTACTGTATACAATGTTCTCTTGTTCTTTATGAGAAGCCAGTGACCTTCCAAGAGCCATTCTCCTATGGATAAGTGGTCAAAGAATATGAACAAGTAGTTCTTTTTTCTTTTTTTGGCTAGGCAGTGGGGTTAAAGTGACTTGCCCAGGGTCACACAGCTAGTAAGTGTTATATGTCTCAGGCCGGATTTGAACTCAGGTCCTCCTGATTCCAGGGCTGGCGCTCTATCCACTGCACCACCTAGCTGCCCAACAAGTAGTTCTTAAAGGGATTGTAAACAATTATTAATCTTTTCTAGTGCCTGGCCCTTAATAAATGTTTGTTAAATTAAATAAATTAAATTTAAAAAATTAAAATAAATTAAAATTCCAAATCACAATAATGAGGTGGGGCAAACAAGCATTTATAAGCCCCCACTATGTGCCAGGCACTGCGCTAAATGCTTTAACAAATATTGTCTCGTTTGATCCTCATAACAACTCTTTTATAGCTAAGGAAACTGAGCCAAACAGAGATTAAGTGACTCGCTCAGAGCCACACAACTAATAAGTATCTGAAACCAGTTTTGAACTCTGGTCTTCCTGACCCCAGACCCGCTGCTTTATCCATTGTACCACCTAGAAATATAAGTTAAAAACAACTCTGAAGTTTTGATTCAAATTAATACCCAGCAAAATGGCCAGGATGACAAAGGACAGAGGTAGTCATTGTTGGAAGGGCTGCAAGAAGATGGGCACACTAATAAACTGTTGGTGGAGTTGTGAATTGGTCTATTTTGGAAAACAGTCTGGAAGTGTGCCAAAAATTGACCCCGAGATCCCGTTGCTAGGTAGGATGTCAAAGAGAGAAAGACTCATATGTACAAAGATATTCGGGCAGAATCTTTTTTTTTTTTTGGTAATAAAGAGCTGTAAATAAAATGGATATCCATTATTAGTATGTGAATATAATGAGGCTTGAGAAACAACCACTCTGAGAAATATAGAGAAAAATGGGAAAAATGTATGAACTGATGTGGAGTCAAGTATGGAGTAAAGCGGCTGCTATTTGGCAGTAGGGGTGTTCGATTTGAAGCCAAGAAGATCTGAGTTCAAATCCTACCTCAGATACAACTAGCTGTGTGACCCTGGGCAAGTCACTTAACTGTTTGCCTTAGTTCCTCATCTGCAAAATGAGCTGGAGAAGGAAATGGCAAACCATTCCCCAAATGGGGTCATGAAGTGTAGGACACAACTGAACCAACTACACAATAATGAAAGTTTGCAACTTCCCCTTGAGTGATTGCATTGTACTGTTAGTATATTGAGTTCTTAAAACGAGGAAGTGACTTTTGTCTTTTTCTTTGTAGAAACACAAGTTTGTTTTGCCTTTTCTGGCAGTGAGGTAGCAGGGTGGAATTCTGTCAGTGCTTAAGGTGTGAGACCCTCAGGAAAAAAAAACTATTTTATGGATTGTTATCGTGGTTCGTTAAAAAACCTTGCCACTTTAGTTTAAATAGCCTTTCTCTTTTTCTGTACCAAATCAATCTGTTGTCTGAGGATCTTAATAGATTTTATTCTAGGGTTATTGCAGCAGTAGGAAAATAGTGGGAAAGAGATGAAGTAACTTTAGTAGCATGGTGAAGCAGCAGAGGAATTTGTGATAACTTTTTGTTTTGTTTCTGTTGGGTTCTGTCTGCTAAATGGATACCACCTCTTCTCTATCCCTATTATTATTATTATGCATTTTTAATTAATTTTATTATTATTGCCATTGTTATTAATAGCTGGCATTTATTTAGTGCTTAAAGGTTTGGGAAGTGCTTTACAAAGATAATCTAATTTTAATCCTTGCAAGAATTCTGGGATCTCAGTGTTATTGTTTTTTTTTTTCCCTGTTATTGTTATCCCCATTTCAGATAAAGAAACTGAGGTAGACAAAATTAAGTAACTTGCCTAGGGCCACATAGCTAGTAAGCATCTGGGGCAGCATTGGAAGTCAGATTTTCTTTCTTTTTTTTTTTCTGAGGCATTTGGGGTTAAGTGACTTGCCCAGGGTCACACAGCTAGTGTCAAGTGTCTGGTCTGAGACCAGATTTGAACTCAGGTCCTTGTGACTCTGAGGCTGATGCTCTATCCATGGCGCCACCTAGCTCCTAGCTGCCCCAATAAGGGAGTGGATTAGTTGGCCTCTCCCATTGTGGCTTTTTTTTTTTAGGCATTTGGGGTTAAGTGACTTGCCCAGGGTCACACAGCTAGTAAGTGTCAAGTGTTTGGTCTGAGGCCAGATTTGAGCTCAGGTCCTCCTGGGAAGTCAGATTTTCTTGATTGCAGATCCAGCGCTCTGTCCACAGTACCATCTAGCTGCCCAGCTTGTCCTCGATGGCAAACCATTTGATTATGAAGCTAACAAAGCTTGTCTTATTTAACAGCAATATTTCGTGCTCTTGATCATTACCGATGGTGTGATCACAGACCTTGATCAAACCAGGCAGGCCATAGTGAATGCTGCCAAACTCCCCATGTCCATCATCATTGTTGGTGTTGGAGGTGCAGACTTCAGTGCGATGGAGTTTCTTGATGGTGATGGCGGAGCCCTGAGGTCTCCCACTGGAGAGACTGCTATCAGAGACATTGTTCAGTTTGTTCCTTTCAGACAATTCCAGAATGTGAGTATTGCCATTCTACATTCTTCTCCTCTCCCCCTTCTCACCTCTTCCCCCAAATCTGTGGAGCTGAGTATCCTGACTGAAGCTCCTCTGCATTGTTCCATAGCCAGCCAATTGACTACACGGCTATGCTGGGGGAGCAGGGGTGGGGCAGTATAAGTCATGTTCTTTAGCAATCGTGAGCGTATCACTTTCCTCATATGGTTCTTGAAATTTCTATGCCTGTACTCCTTTGCAGTGCTTTTGTGCAGTAAGAATCATGCATCCTCCATGTTTTTGAAGTCTCTGCCAGTGTTTTTCTAGAGACTCCTTTGATACATTCCAACGACTGTAGTCTTAACCATAAGACCAAGAAGGAGGTGGTCTAATAGATCCCTTAAATTTTCTGGGCCATTGCAGCTGTACAACACGAAACCCATTTTTCTAATCACTAGAACAGGGATTAGTAACTTTTTTTTCCCCCATTGTGACCCCTTTGGCAGTGTGTTGGAGCCTTTTTTTCATAGAATAATGTTTTTAAATGCATAAGATAAAATATATAGGATTGAAAAGAAAGCCAAAGATGAGTGAAAATAAAGATGTGATTGTCTTCCCATCCAAGCTCTGGAACCCCTGAGTGCTAGGTTTCAACAAATTAGGACCCTAGGTTAAGAATCCTGCCCTAGAAGGTTTGGCAATTTCTTCCCAGGTTTGTACGGCATTTGTTTACATTTCCTAGTGTAGAGATATGGTGAGGAAGACTTTCACTCTTTCTATATGTATGTTTTAGATAATGTATTTTTGTCTTTACCTTTCATACTGTGGTAGCTCAAATATTCTAGCTGAAAATAGCATTTTCTTACTGGGATTAAGCTTGCTAGAAGTAACTGAGGAAAATGCTTAATTTGCTTTCTTATAATGATCAGTTTTCATATGGAAATATGTTTTACATGATTGTACATATCATATCTATACACACCTATATCAAATTGCTTACCATCTTAGGGAGGGGGAGGGAAGGGAGGGAGAAAATTTGGAACTCAATTAAAAAAAATGTTAAGAATTGTTTTTACATGTAATTGGAAAAAAACATAATACTGTTAAAAAAACACAATGATCAGTTTTCTTTCAGGTTTGTTGCACTCTGTGTGTAACAGCGTCCAGTTACCTATTAGTTTTCAATTCTAAGAAAAACAAGTCTGGAGTGTTGTTTTTCCAGTCCTGTCACAAACAATGGCATGAAAATAGAATGCATGGTGTTTTTTTTTTTTAAAAGAAGTCAACAAGGCCTCTAACTTATCCTGCTCCTTATCTTGATGATCCCAAGATAAGAAATGGGTCTCAAGCCACAGAGGGGAGAAAATGGAATTTTTTAGTGTAATATCTTATCTAAGTTAAGGTGCCTAAATGTATGTTTGTTTAAATGTATGGTTGCTAATGAGGACACTTGCTTGTTTTCTTTTTTTTTTCTTTTTTCCTTCTTTTTAAACAAGGCTCCAAAGGAAGCCCTTGCTCAGTGTGTTCTGGCAGAAGTTCCCCAACAAGTGGTGGGGTACTTTAACACGTATAAACTCCTCCCTCCGAAGAATCCTGCTACAAAGTAATGGAGACAGCTCAGGAGAATTCCTTGGTGCCAGGTGGAGCTGTGGGTTCGTCATCTCCCGAACATGCATTCACTGTGTTGGTTTTTGTGACCCCTTATGGTCTATCTGTGTGTGACATGATTTTTTTTTTTTAACATGGAGCCATATCTGTTCAATGCATTTCTTTTGGAATATCGTTGTTGTATATGCTTGTGATTTCTTTTTGTAAAGCTGAAGAGTGAATGTCTATGTAATCAATTTAGTAACTGGTAATTGGTAGGAATTGACTGAGGCATGGTTGGGTTAGAAAGTGGCAGTAAGATGACCTTTGCTTTACATTAATTGGATATGATTGTGATGAAGCTATTTGTGAATGATGATAAGTCATTTTGGTGGAACAAATGTTAACCTATGAATTCCTAAGCTTTGCTGTTGTCCCAGTGTGTATATATTCCACATGCAAACTCCCACTCTTGATCAAGATAAAGCTGTTTAGCTGAGATGAGTTGGGGGTACTTTAACTGGTCCTTCTTATAGCTCATTATTGCCCATAGAGTGTCGGCTTTCTTTACTTACCTCTACATAGTGCTGCAGTCTATAAGCCACATCGTTATGTAAATTAATGCTTTCGCCTTGAGGGGAAGGCAGTTTCTTATTAAACAATCACTGAATAGATACCTGTTACAGACAAACAGTTCTCTGTTCACTTTTTTTGGTGGGGTTCTTTAAAAATGATTTTTTCATCATAGAAGATTCTGAAAATGATCAGGTTGAAGGTGGGTCTTGTTCTTAAACTACTTCAGACAAAATGGAAGATTCTTTAGAAATTAAGATATAGCTTTTGTTGTTACTGCTGTGGTTCCATATCTGCTTAGTTGGTAAGGAGTTCAGCTCATGTTAGCCTGTGTTTTGTGAGCCCATTTGAGGCTCACAGGTTGGAGGTTGGTAAAAGTGGTCTGATGAGAAGACTCATTAACCCCAATGAACTTAAGAACCAGCTTAGTGCCCCCACTGTCCTGGAAGCCAGATAACCTTTGCTTCTTTCTGTAGCTCACTTTATACTTTGCTACGCACCACATGTTAATCAGTGCTAGAGGCAATCTCATTATGCAATATTTTTTAAGAGAGATTTTCTTGAGGGATAATAATGGTTTCCTACCAATTAATCTATCATTTTATAAGAATATTATTTTTTAGTCACAGGATGTGTCCTACATTCAAGCGTAGAATCTTTTGGAATTAAATTATTTTTGAGTCATCAACCCCATTTGAGAAGTCTTTTAATGCATATATTATAAGCCTTTGAAGGCTTTGTGGTAATGGACAGAAAACCAACCTCAATGCTGAAGATACCTGGGTTCCAGTCTCACTTAGGAAACATACAGGATATGTGACAAATTGCTTCAGCTTTCAGTGCCCTGGGTAGCTCTCTCAGACCATATGTTTCAGAGAAGGAGTCAACCTACGCTGGTGAAGGGAGTTTCCTCTAACAGGGCCAGTCTCTGTTTCTATGTTGTTTTTACTCAAAATAGAATCATCTCCTTTTTTTTCTTTCTTTTTTTTTTTTTTTTGGTGAGGGAATTGAGGTTAAGTGGTGTGTCTGAGGCTGGGTTTGAACTCTGGTCCTCCTGACTTCAGGGCCAGTGCTCCATCCACTGTGTCGCCTAGCTGCCCCAATCCTCTCTATTCTGAAGGCTGTTTTTCCAGAATACATTGTGTTAAAGAGTATTTCCTTTTCATGAATTGCTTTGAAAAAATACCCAACATCAAAACTCTGGACATATCTAATACCATCAACATATGTATGTACAAAACATCATTAAATCCATTAACATATATGTATTTATAAGCCCATTAGCATGTACTTATTCATATTAAAAGTGCAACACTGAAAACCAGTACATATTTTACATGAAAATAAACTAAGTGTGTGTGTGTGTGTGTGTGTGTGTGTGTGTGTGTGTGTATGTGTTAATGGTTTTTAGTGTTGGTTCCAATATACATCTGTAAAAAAGGATCTATCTTTTATTCTAGCTTTTTAGTCTTGTTGAAAAATCTCCAGCACCTGGGTCTAGTTTTATACACCTTCATTGCAATGTGGAAGAGAGGACTAGGGCTTAATAGACCCTGGCTTCTTTAAAATGACTGGACAATTCAAGCAGAGGCGGATCTTTCTTACTGCCATGCTGTATTTGCCTGAGTAGACTAGCTGACTGGCCTTGTAGAACTCCCTATAAGTCGTGGGGACTGGGCAAACCACTATTAACCGACACTCACCTGACTAATACTATCTTACTTCTTGTGGCCTTATATCTTGTTGGCAATCCTTTCTTTAGACTGTATCCCTCACTGTGGAGTGAATAATTGGTCATTCTTTACTGGCTTGGGGCTTGAATTATGTGTAAAATGGCACCCAATTTTTCTACTTCATTTAATCAACAAACAATCAGTTAACATTTATTAAGCACCTCATTTGTGCCAGACACTGTGCTAAGTGCTGGAGATGCAAAAAAGGTGAATGTAACATTTAAATGAAGTACAGTCATTTAAATCACCCAGGTCACAAGGTCAGGGACACCCCGGAAAAAGCAGAGTGTTCCTGTTTTTATACCATTCCTTTACCTGGAATGTTCCTCTCAAACAATCTGATACCATTGAGTTCGTGGTCAGATGCTGCTGAGGCAGAATAAGCTGTCGTAAGGTAAATACTTGCCTATTTTATGTGTTGAATTAAAAGCATTTATACTTATATTTTCATCACTTTATGAAAAACTTGTAGTTTCAATAACCCAACCCCTATCTCTTATACCACATTTGGATTGAGTTTTGTATTTGAAATAATTTCTCCCTTTTTGCATTCATGTTTTTAAAGAGGATATTGTGTGATTGATTATAGGGTGTCTTGAGACCAAATAGATCGTGCCATCTTAACAGCTGTGCAAGTATCCAGATGAGAAATTTATATCCCCAGAGCGGTCTCCTGACCAAGGTTTTGTTTTGAGAAAATTGTACACAAACTAGCTTAGCTAGTTTGTGCCACCTTGTGGTAAAACTTCAGAAATGAAATTTTGTTATGAACTTGGGAAATGTAAACCTCGGACCAGTGATTCTCAGACTTTTAGTTTCATAGTCCCTGAGCTGGTTTTGAAAGTAAACTTGATACTCATACTTTCTTATTCTGTATTTTTGATGCACTTTTCATATCTCTTCCTTTACTTATTTGGAAATTTATTTTCCTAAAACTACAATAAAAACAAAACCCAAAACACTCTTACTCTTATTTTTTGCAAAATTTCTTGTAATATTTATGATGTTCCAGGGTAATTATACCGCAGGGTAACCTAATACTTTGATTGAGAATAAGATTTCAACTATTCATGTGCTTTTATAAAAGTTGCTTTGCTAATATATGGTTATATATAATAGTCTCTAATACATGGCCACAAGTTTTAAATGTATCTTCCCTTTGATTTGTGATAAAGTTGATTCTAGATGTAAGCAGGGTGGTGTCTTGATTTCATTATGGCCTGATTGAATCTCTTGTCCCTCTCTACATGATGTCCAAACAATGAAAGAAAGGAAAAGTAAAACATTTAATGAAACACTACTTTCATAAAGAGTTTGGGGTTTGTCATTTTATTGAATTCAGCCAAATTGGATTTTTTTCATTCATTTAACAAATATTTAATAAATGGCTATTACTGTAAAAGACTGTACTAGATAATAAGGGAGACATAAGATAAGTTTTTGCCCTTAAGAAGCTAATGGTCTAAACTAAGCTAATAGAGAAAAGATAATTATAAGGGCCACATGAGTGGTGGCATTTCATAAATGTTTCTTGAATTAGATTGTTTGTGTAGTCACAGCTTGGTATGACAGCATAATTAAAAGTTTCCTTCCTGCAGTCAGGAATGGCTTGAGCAATGTGATTCTCATATTTGATTGGTATTATGGGAAGATACTGAGGCAACTAGGTGGTGAAGTAAGTAGAGTACTGGGCTTGGAATCAGAAAGATTCCATTTTCATGAATTCAATTCTGGCCTCAGACACTCAGACACTGACCTAGGACACTTAGCCCTGTTTGCCTCAGTTCCTCATCTATAAATATGAACTGGAGAAGTAAATGGTAAAGCACTCGATTATCCTTGCCAAGAAATCCCCAAAATGAAGTTCTGAAGAGTTGAACGTGACTGAAACAACTGAATAACACGACATAGGTATACTTCCTCCTGACCATAGTCGCACTTGTACTGAGGTGATCTTTCTAACGTTACACATCATTTTAAATGTTGAATTTGCCCATTCTGAAACTGGGGTCTGTAATATTGATCATCATACAAGGCAGATGGAATGAAACTCCACTTTTGTATCTTGTGCTTCAGGCATGATAACTACATTTTTGTAGGTATAGATGGAAGCCATAATGTCCATAGTGGGCAAGAAAAAGAACTCAGATGTACAACTTCCTTGCATGATCCAGCCTTATATGTTAATTCTCTTCCTCTCTTTATCCTGGTGATGAGAGAGAAGCAGGATGATGGTCATTCTTCTACTGGGCACCTATTGTAGAAAGCCTTTTTGAGTTTATCTTCAAAGTCTAGAAGAGATATAGGACTACAGTTAGCAGGGATGGAAGGGTTAAGTGAGGATTTTTTTGGTGTAGGGGAGAGGTGGCTATGTTTGTAGGTACTTTGGAGTGACTCCAAGGAGGAACGAGTCTCCCTTTTGAGTTTTCCAGGGATTTCTACACAGTAATTATTAAAAAGTTTATTGAGTTGAATTCTACATGAACTCAAATGAGCAGAATTATTACTCAGATCTTTTTCCCTTCACCTACTGTGGCCCTTTTCTTCACAGATGTATGTGCAGACTCTCCCTCTCCCCCATAGATCTCCTCAGATAGGTGAGGCATAAAGACTCTTGAAAGGCACACTGTAGCTTTATTTCAAATACTAAGGAAATTTTTAAAAAGAAATATTTCTTACATCAAATCCCTGCTAGTACAACTGATATACTGGGGATAAACTCTCTCTAATGCCTCCTTTGGTGGTTCCTCTTCCAAATCATACTCTCTAACCGTAGGTGTCCCCTAGGGTTCTGTCCTGGGCCTTCTCTTCTTCTACACTACTTCACTCAGTGATCTCATCAGCTCCCATGCAGATTCTCAGATCTACACATCCTTCCTCAAACTCTCTGCTGATCTGCACCATCTCTAACTGCCTCTCAGAAATCTCAAACTGTATGTCTACTAGGCATCTTAAACTTAGTATATCCAAAACAAAATTCATTATCTTTTCCCCAAACCCTCCCCACCTCCTACCTTCCCTATTACTATTGAGGGCAACACCATCTTCCCAGTTCCTCAGGCTCTCAACCTAGGAATCATGCTGGACTCTTCACTATTTCTCATCACCCATATCCAAACTGTTGCCAAGGCCTGTTGGTTTTGCGACATCTCTTGAATATGACCCCTTTCTCTCCTCTGACACCACCCTAGTGCAGGCCCTCATCACTTCATGCCTGAATTATTGCAGTACTATGCTGGTGGGTCTGCCTGACTCAAGTCTCCTTCCACTCCAGTCCATCTTCCATTCAACCACTAAAGTAATATTCCTAAAACACAAGTCTGATCATGTCGCCCACCCCCAACTCAATAAACTCCATTGGCTTCCTATTGTCTCCAGGATCAAA